CATGGCTTCGAGAAGGCCGTACGCAAAGAGCAAGGGGCACTGGACGCCGCCGTAGAACAACAGGTCCATTGCAAATGAATGGTTTGCAGAACACGGAAGACCTATTGGCATGCGAAGTGTTTACTGACGAATGAAAAGTTTTGGCTTGTTTTCATACCGGCCACACTGGGTCCTCCCTTTAACTCGAGAACACCGACGTAATCGCCTTGAGTGGTGCAGACAACGGTCACTCTGGGATCAGGAATGGAACAGTATTGTCTTTAGTGACGAGTCTCGATTTTGTTTAGGCATGCACGATGGTCGTGCCAGGGTTAGAAGGCGACGTGGTGAAAGGGGGAATCCACAGTTTTTTGTTGAAAGACATGTTCATCACACTGTTGGAGTTATGGTTTGGGGTGCTATAGCTTATGGTTCCAGGTCACCTTTAATCTTCATCAGAGATAACATGAACGCGCAGCGTTATATCCACGAAGTTCTAGAACCCCATCTTTTACCCGATCTTGACACCCTGGCAGATCCAACTTTCCAACAAGATAATGCCCGACCACTTGTTGCAAGAGTCACAATAGACTTCTTTCAACATAATGTCACATTGTTACCATGGCCACCAAGATCTCCCGACTTATCCCCAATTGAGCACGTGTGGGATATGATGGGTAGGAGATTGCTCAATTTGCAACGTCCTCTTCAGACTCTAGAAGCACTTCGAGAGGAGTTGGTGGTTGCCTGGAATGAGATACCACAAGAGGACATTGACCACCTGATCAGAAGCATGCCTAGGCGCGTTGGAGAATGCGTAGCACATCAGGAAGCATCCACACATTATTAAAGGTCAAAGGGCTTTAAAGCAGTGCAATCATTTTGAAATTTTTATCATTTACTTGTTATGCTTCATTAAGTACTTATACAAAATTTTATTAAAATAAAACCATTTAAACTGGGTGTTCGGATTTATATGTCACTTAGTATACTTTCAGAAGAAATTTGACTAAAAGAATTTACTTAATAAGTAAATGCTTTTCTTCACTATGCCCATGGTTTGTTTATCATTTTGTTGTTGAAAACAGCTATTGGAGGGTTTTTTTGTGGCAAAAAGTTATTTCTTGAAGAAAGACAAGGAAATATCTCGTACTTATTTTAAATAGGAATTTAGTACATATACTCTGGGCGCTGAAGAAGGACATTAAACGTAAACAGTGATCAGCACGTGAACAGATCCCTCGAAAGCATCCACGAATATACTCCAGTCACTTTAGGTCTAAACATCCTCGGCAGTGTATTTCTAGTGAATCCACAGACCCTTTTTCGTGTCATCTTGAGACTAGAAAAAGGATGACTGTTAAAATAAGTTACCTTGATCTTTCATGAGCTCCCAGTACAAAACATCATCGATATATTTTTGATGTAGGAACAACAAATTGGTTTAGAAAACATCCACTTTGAACCTAAATTGACTGGAGTAACATCGATCTACAGACAAATTCAAGGTCACTAGCAGTCGTCGGCGCTCTACGAATCTGCACAGGTTTGGACTTGTAAACGTGATTGTAGATGACACGACAGGCATCTAACAGTTAATTCACGCACAGGATTGCATTGCATACGCATTACGCATTCAGTAGCGTATACTCGTTTTTCGCGAGTGGAACGTTTTGTTTATATATTGCCTAAGATACGATGTCTGACACAGATACAGCCGACGAAGTGGTTGACATCAGCGCAACCCCACCCAAAAAAGGGCTAAGAAGCTACATTTAAGTGCAAATGAAAAACAAATAATATTAAATATATGCAAAAACCAAATTCAAGAAAAACCCGATTTGGTCGTGGACGAAGTTATATGTAAGGTAGCACATATTTCTGGAGTATGTCGGTCCAGTGTTTATAGGATCATTAAGGAATATAGGAGCACTCACTCACTTTCTGAGCCAAAACCGTATCCTGCAAGAAAAAGGATAACGGACGGAGTAGATGACTTTGACAGAACTGCCATCAGGAGGAAAGTGCATAATTTTTTCTTCCGAAATGAGATACCTACAGTAGATAAGATATTAAGATTAGTTAATGCTGATGAGGATCTTCCATCATTTAAAAGAACCACATTCCGAAAACTTTTGAAGGAACTTAATTTTCGATTCTTGAACCGGGGAAGAAACAGTATGTTAATAGAGAAAGAAGAAATTGTTGTGTGGAGAAGGGAATACCTTAGGAAGATTCGGAAGTTTCGCGATGAAAAAAGAAAAATTTACTATTTGGACGAAACGTGGGTGAATGCTGGACATACTCAAGCGAAAGTTTGGGTCGACAAATCAGTAACATCATCAAGGCAGGCTTTTCTAGACGGTCTTTCGGCTGGATTGAAAAATCCTGCAGGTAAGCTCCTTCATCTATCCGGCAATTTAATTTTGATAAATTCGGGCAAATAATATGCTGTGATAGCAGATAATGTGTGATATTCTCCAAAAATGGTGCATTCGCAGTGTAGTCATTAGGAAAAAAAGTTCGACCCTCTTTTAAGCGTTATTTTGAAATTTATTATCATTTTTGGGTGCAGTCAATTTGCTTTGAATGGGTTTTGAGAAGTTGCAAACTTCAATTTTCTACGTTTTTCAGTTTTTGATCAGCATTCCGTGACTCTTAAATTCAGCTAAATGAACTCAATTGCCTCATTCCTTCAAATTTAATCAATCCATAGTGTAAGGAATAATTTATTTCCAGGAAAAGGCAAACGGCTGATCATTTGTCACGTAGGTAGTGGAGACGGCTTTGTTCCCGAAGCACTGTGGGCCTTTGAATCAAAAAAGACAGGGGACTATCATGAGGAGATGGACGGCGATTCCTTTGAAAATTGGTTATCCAAAATGTTACTAAAGCTGGAGAATAACGCTGTTATTGTACTGGATAATGCCCCGTACCATTCTAGAAAAATAGAAAAAATTCCCACAATGGCAACTAAAAAAGCAAACATACAACAATGGCTGGCCTCAAAACAGATCGATTTTGATGAAACAATGGTCAAGGGTGAATTGATAAGTATAGTCAATAGACATAAATACAAATACGATTTTAAAATGATCGACGAAATGGCCAAAAAACAAAATAAAACTGTCTTGAGACTGCCACCCTACCATTGTGAGCTGAACCCTATTGAGCTGATTTGGGCCAACATAAAGCAATACGTGGCGTCGAATAATAATACTCATAAACTTTCTGATGTTAAAAATCTCTTTCACATCGCAGTCAATAGAGTTACGGCAGAGGAATGGAAAAACTGTATCCGCCACGTTCGGGAGAAGGTTGAGGTCAAAATGTGTGATTTGGACAATGTCATCGATACCCAAATTGAACCTCTAATAATTCATTTAAACGATTCAGAAGATTCAAGTTCCTCTTCTGAATGAGTGCGCGCAGCTTACTTACTAATAACTAAAAAGTGTAGTTAACTCATTTGTGAATCTCTAACTGAAATTTACTGTAAAAGATAATAATTATCTTGTATGAAATTTTTGATGACTACCCATAATATCTTGATGCGGTCCTGTAATGTCTCCTGCGCCTAAACACTCACGAGCAATATGCGTGTATTTGTTTGGGTTTAGTTTCTTTCTTCAGCGCCTAGAGTTTAGTTTGCGATTGATTTGACCAAACTTTGTTGCTAAAATAACTTGTAACGCTTTATTACATAAATTAACCATGATATACTCCACAGCAGAAAGAGTTGAAATTATCGAAATATTTTTCGGAAATAATCAGTGCGCTAATAGAACAGCAGAAATGGTTAATGAACGACATGATAACAGTAACGTGCATCAAAAATATGTTCTAGAACTTGTAGCTAAATTTCGGGAAACTGGGTCAGTTGCCAATAAAAAACGCAACATTGGAAATTACATAAGGAACGAAGTAATAGAAGTGGGGGTTTTAAGGCAAGTTTATGTAGATCCAACGTTAAGTACCCGCAAATTGGAGACTGCGTGTGGTGTTAGTCGACGTACTGTCCAACGGATTCTAAAGGCCCATAGTTTTCATCCGTATAAAATTCACCTGATACAAGAACTTAATGAAGACGATCTTGATTGGCGATTACAATTTTGTGAAGATATGAGTGAACGAATTATAAACGATGAACATTTTCTTTTCAACACTTGCTTTTCCGATGAATGTTCCTTTTTCTTAAATGGCGTAGTAAATCGTCACAATTGCCGATATTGGTCCGATTCTAATCCCAGAATTTATCATGAGGTTGAGCTGGTATTTTTGGCGACCATTTAGTTGTTCCTTTTTCCTTACCTGGAAATTTGACCGGTGAAATGTATTTGGAATTTCTGGAAGACGCCCCATCACATTACGCATTACGTGTTCGACAATATTTAGATCAGACGTTTCCAGAACGATGGATTGGTAGAAGAGGTGCCATTGAATCGCCCCCATGATCGCCAGATTTATCACCTTTGGATTTCTTTATGTGGGGTCATTTAAGAAGCAAAATCTATGCTACTCAGCCATCATCATTAGAAGACCTGCGACAAAGAATTGTGAATGAGTGTCTTCAAATTACTCCTCAAATTGCCACGCTTTTTTTTTTAATTAAGATCACTTTTTAATTTTGAGCTAAATTTATTTCTCTCAATTGAGGCAATGGATGATTAAGAAAACTAGGGGGTTACTGCGGCTAAAGTCGTGGTTTAGCGTCGGCAAATTAGGCCCTATGCTCAGGTACACCGGAGAATAGGGGGGTATTTTTTTAGGGGCGCCACCAGCTTTTATCCGCCAAAACTGGAAGACGCCTTGGTGTTGAAAGGCACTCTTTAGCCCAAAACCCCAAGAAACAAAAACAAAAATACATACAAACAATAGATTTTCTGTGTGGGTAAATAATTGCTGAAATTAACATCAATACATTTTAATACATCTACTAACGGCTAAAAACAAAAATTTAAGCCAGCCAAACTAGGAGATCTCAACTTTAATGCGAAAGCTTATTGACTAACTAATTTAAAATGGGCGAGGAAGGCTTCAAAACCGATGACGTAAGAATCCCTATGGTGGAAAAAGGGGTCTCTGTTCGGAAAGAGGTCCCCGGTAGAAAACGTCAATGGATCTCCAGTAGCGAAGATTCCCCCAAAATAAAAACCCTAGGAAGAATAATAGTATTCAGGCGATCGAATGTAACAGTATAAAAAAAATACAAATTTAGTTAACAACAATTAACGTAATTGGAAAAGTAATCTTCAAATATTGAATATAAATTATACGCGAATATAAATTAAATATTTTAGATAATTCAATTACGATTTTTGACCACCAGGTATAACAGATTTAAAATTACACTTCGAGTTACTCGGAAAATATCATAAAACCAACGCATGCTCCACAGAATACTAAGTTAACTCCATTTTAGAACAAGAATAATTACTTACTTTTGAGAAAACTCATATATATGAGAAATATGGTCATTTGCCTAAATTTACATTTACTTAAAATAAAACAATGCTCACCTAGATGATGTCGGGTAGGGTTTTTCACGTGGTTCCGTCTGATAAAAGAGTGGCTGAAGACAATAAGATCCTACAAATGGTAGAATTTCTCGGATCCAAGGGCAGACAAAAAAAAAGATGCTACGCACTCACAACAGGAATGACGCAGGAAATTATCTATGAAATTTTCTTCCGCAATCCAGCGAAGATGCCCCAGGCAAAAAAGGAGGAAAATTTCAGGTCTTCTGGCACTAGCGGAACAGAACAAGATGGTCCTCCGATAGTGGAAGGAAGTCCCCTCCCAAAATTTAACTTTTTCGACTTGACTACTTGACATTTCCAAATACAGTTGTACGCCTGACCATTAAGAGCCAAACGTTGCCGGCTAATCCCAAAATGAGAAGGTTCCTAATATAAATTCGAGGAAATATCGTAAATAAATGTGGCAACACTGTCATATCTGCATATAAATTCGGTTGATTAATAAACATAAGGAAATTCTGAAATAAAATTGGCAACTATGCAGAATAGTACCTCGACATCAGCGACATCAGCCTTTGACATTGGAAGATTTCAGAAAACAATAATAAATTCATCTGACTATAAAAGAAATACATAGTTCAATAGGTGAGTAATAATATTTATGCAACACAAATAGTTTTTAATTCAGAAGGTGATATCAATTTATAGATGTACATTTATTTATTTATTTTTAGCTCCGGAATGACAAACCGGATTGTTGTTGGGATGTAAACAAATCCCCGAGGCGAAAATTTCGAGATCGAATTGATTTCTTGACGGTGGAAGATCTAGCATGGGATGGAAGCAACCGAGTTATTTATGAAAATACGTGGAGATGAATACTAAAATTATTACTCATGGTGAACCAGGGAAATTACTAGGCAACACAAGAAGAAATTGTCCATATCAGGGTGAGTAAATTCTTCAATTAGTTACCTGAATGCATGGAAAATGGACTACACATTTATAAACTTAGTGGTAGAAACTGTAAAGATGATCAAAATGGAGTGCGATTGCTGTACGTTAGATTTAATAATTGAAATTTTTGGATTATAAAATAGATCAGGATGGATTATGTTTAATTGATTGAGAAATATTTGGTTTCAGTTCCCAAATTGTTCAGTGACATGGAAGATGCTGACTACTATACAGGGTGTCCCAGAAGTCGACGTCAAGCCGAAACCGGGTGATAGGCAAAGTCATAACAGCTATCAGAAAAATATTTAAAAAAATGTTATGCATATGTTTTGAAAATTATAGGTCTTTGAAAAAGATATAGAAATTTCACACCCTACGGCAGTCTGTCAACTCCTGTTACTACAAATATTAACTTTTTTTGGATTTTATTTTTACAATGTAATGATGAATAATGCATCTTCAAACTGGTGACTCAGCCTTACTGCCAACTTTTCTCGTTCAGGAAAAATTGACACTTATTTCCCAACCAAGTATTCCAAAGTAAAACTTTGCTCAACTTTAACTGGCTGTACTGGAAAAAAATGTACTACGAGAGTTTGGCAAGTAACCTTAAAAGTTGGCGCATTTAATAACGATTCCAAAATGGTATAACACTTAGAATATTACTCGTTAACTTATGCACAATTTTTATTTAAAAAAAAAAACTGATGAAAATTTTTCAAAATTTCGTAATTAAACAGCGATTATGAGAACGCACAAGGACCCCTTAAGGATAACTGTTTGCACAACAGTGGGCGTCAAAATGCTGCTGATGATGATTTACAGCAAATGCTCAAACTGTTTTCCTTTAGCCGCAATATACGCTCGACATCTTCTTAAAAAAGATCGGGTTATTAAACGAGCGAATCCACGGTTATTAACAAACTCAGCTGCTTCCAATAGTCTTTGCCGTAGCTCAGCTACATTTTGAATCAGCTTGAAATACACTTTTTCTTTTACAGTTCTCCAGTAAAAAAAATCTAACGGATTCAAATCTGGTGACCGGGCTGGCCACGGTATTGTACCAGACCGCCCTATCCATCTGCCTGGAAAGTTTTGATCGAGATACTCTCTCACTGAGAGTGCATAGTGCGCTGGGCAGCCATCATCCCTGTAAATACTCAGTGGCACGTCCACCAATAAATTTTGTACATGATTTTTCAAAAAATCCAAATAAACTTCAGCAGTCAAAGTCTCTGGGAACTCAAACGGACCGATTATTTTACCATTTAAAATTTTTGTCCAATGGTTTATCTTGAAGCGATATTGAGATTTATCTTCTCTCATCAAATGTGGGTTTGCTACGTGCCACTCGTGTAAGTTAAGCAGGTTCATGTACCCATCTTTCTTAAATGTGGTCTCATCCGACCATAAAATTTTTTCAAAGAACTGTGGATCTTTCATGTGTCTTTCTAACATTGTGCGACAAAAAGCAACTCGGGGCTCATAATCCCGGGGCAGGAGAGGTTGAACACGCTGTATGTGGTATGGATGAAGTACATCACTTACTTGCTATTGCACACTTTGATACCAATCAGTACTCCTTCGTTTACTGCGCATCTTTACATGTTCGTGCTTGTTGATTTCGTACTGTTACTAATTTTGGATTCGAGAACTGGACTGTTGATCGCTTGTGATTTGGATTTGGACTGTTTAATTGCTCTTCAAAACAACAGTTGCTTTCCTTAGACTATCTTTGATAGTGTGATTGTGCAGTGCCGCTATGCCCGTGTGCACCGTACAAGAATATGCTAACATGCACCTCATTTATGGGGAATGCAGATGCAACGCTAGTGCTGCAGCGAGACTTTACTGTGAGAGGTACCCGAATGCAGCTCGTCATCCAGATCATCGAGTGTTCACAAATGTGCACCGCTTACTGTTCTCAGGGGGCCAACTACCAAACCAATCACACAGTGAGGGAAGATCTTTCCTTCCTTACGAAGACGTGGTGCTAGGAGCTGTCGAAGAAGACCCGAGTACTTCAGTGCGTGCAATAGAACTAAAGACAGGTGTGCCCAAAAGTACAGCCCGTAGAATCTTGCAAAAAAACATGCTCCATCCATACCACGTACAGCGTGTTCAAGCTCTTCTGCCCCGGGATTATGAGCCCCGAGTTGCTTTTTGTCGCACAATGTTAGAAAGACACAGGGAAGATCCACGGTTCTTTGAAAAAATTTTATGGTCAGATGAGACCACATTTAAGAAAGATGGGTACATGAACCTGCATAACTTACACGAGTGGCACGTAGCAAACCCACATTTGATGAGAGAAGATAAATCTCAATATCGCTTCAAGATAAACCATTGGACAGGAATTTTAAATGGTAAAATAATCGGTCCGTTTGAGTTCCCAGAGACTTTGACTGCTGAGGTTTGTTTAGGGTTTTTGCAAAATCATTTAGAAACTTTATTGGAGGACGTGCCACTGAGTATTTACAGGGACATGTGGTTTCAGCATGATGGCTGCCCAGCGCACTATGCACTCTCAGTGAGAGAGTATCTCGATCAAAACTTTCCAGGCAGATGGATAGGGCGGTCTGGTACAATACCGTGGCCAGCCCGGTCACCAGGTTTGAATCCGTTAGATTTTTTTTACTGGGGAACTGTAAAAGAAAAAGTGTATTTCAAGCCGATTCAAAATGTAGCTGAGCTACGGCAAGGACTATTGAAAGCAGCTGAGTATGTTAATAACCGTGGATTCGCTCGTTTAATAACCCGATCTTTTTTAAGAAGATGTCGAGCGTGTATTGCGGCTGAAGGAAAACAGTTTGAGCATTTGCTGTAAAGGTAAATCATCATCAGCAGCATTTTAACGCCCACTGTTGTGCAAACAGTTATCCTTAAGGGTCCTTGTGCGTTTTCATAATCGCTGGTTAATTAGGAAATTTTGAAAAATTTTCATCAGTTTTTTTTTTCAAATAAAAATTGTGCATAAGTTAACGAGTAATCTTCTAAGTGTTATACCATTTTGGAATCCTTATTAAATGCGCCAACTTTTAAGGTTACTTGCCAAACTCTCGTAGTACATTTTTTTTCAGTACAGCCAATTAAAGTTGAGCAAAGTTTAACTTTGGAATACTGGTTGGGAAACGAGTGGCAATTTTTCCTGAACGAGAAAAGTTGGCAGTAAAGTTGAGACACCAGTTTGAAGATGCATTATTCATCATTACATTGTAAAAATAAAATCCAAAAAAAGTTAATATTTGTAGTAACAGGAGTTGACAGACTGCCGTAGGGTGTGAAATTTCTATATTTTTTTCAAAGACCTATAATTTTCAAAACACATACATAAAAATTTTTTAAATATTTTTCTGATAGCTGTTTTGACTTTGCTTATCACCTGGTTTCGGCTTGACGTCGACTTCTGGGACACCCTGTATACAGGCAGCCAAACGCCTACAGAAGAAAAACAAGGGATACAAATTAAAAATTATAGTTATTCCGTGGTATTCATGTGTTATGTTTGTTATTTCAAATAAACATGATAACAGGTAAATGTCTGCGTGTTATTTATTTTGGTTATGAATTACGTGAGAAAAATATAGCTAAATACACCGTTAAAAACAAGCCCCATCTTGCGAAATGGCCAATGGGCCGGTCTAGTCATTTTTGTCAATAAAATTGATTTAATATTATGCTATGAATAAAAATAATATGCTACGGAGATTATTAGAATAGATTATCGGCCTTTGTTTCTTCCTTCTCAAGTTCTTGCTGCATTACCTGAAATTAAACCTGTGCGACAACAACAACAACAAAAAGAATATATGATTCATCGGCAATAAGAGGCAACTGTTACAAAATATTGCTAAATGTGCGGCAACGTTTTGAGCAAAATCTTTATTATTGCATTGAGAGTCATGGTGGCCATTTTCAACATTTACTTGTCTAACGGGTCAGTTCATTCTTCATTTTTAAATTACTTTGCTGCCTAATGTATTGATCTCCACTAATGATGATGTATAGTCAACGCCAAACAAAGTGGCGTGCACGTCATCACGATAAAAATTCCCCGACCTAATGCCTAGGTTTCTATCACAAACAATTGCTCTATTGCAGTTTCATATTAATGTGATATATAAATTGTAAAATGGTCATTACTCTCTTATTATGGTTAATAGTCATATAAACATTGTTATTAAAATATCACATAAGTTGCTTTCTGATAAATTTAGACGCATTATGCGAAATAAAATGTTTTGCAAACGCTCCAATCACTTATCGACATGTAAACGCACTAAACCGATTTCGCAGCGTTGACACATTGTCACCTTGAAACTTATTTAAACTGGGAACTGACATTTGTATTAATTTTGACACTGAATCAATTTGTGGCATTTCAAATCTTTATAAATCCTTTGGCCCCGCATACTGTAAATCAACAACTGTTTGTTTCAAAACAGAATTATTCATTTTTCGAGTAGATAAAGGCAATTTTGGTATATAAAGATGCCCAAGCAGTTAAATAGTCGGTGTAAGAAACTCGTGGCCTCGTTAATGCACTACTTTGAGCAAGAAAGGGACAACAACGGGCCTTTGTTGCCTTTAAATGCTGTTCAAGAGGTAGGTTACTAATAATTATATGTAATGTATATTAATAATAGTGAAATTTTATTTCATTTTCTGTAGCGTGTTGCTGCTGCTTTAAAAATTAGTTTAAGGACAGTTAGTCGTATTTCCGAGGGTGTGAAAAGTGATGCAAATTTAGAATCGCCCAAGAAAAAGCGGAGTTATATTAAACGTGTAACCAACACAGCGACATTGGATACAAGTGCCATTCGAGAAGTGATCTATAATATGTATCACAAAAGTAAGATCTTATTATAATAACTTATCAGAAATTTGCATTAATTTGTTAACTAAATTATAATGTCACATTACACATGGTTTCAGAAGAACAAGTTACGATACAAACTTTATGGTCTCGATTAAGAGATAGGGCATTATCTGATGGTAGTGCCACGTCTTTAAGGCGGTTGCTTAGAGATCTTGGATTTAAGTGGCTTAAGGACAATCCGCGACGAGGGCTCATGGAACTACCAAGTATACGTTAGCTTTGAAAAGGGTGGAATTTCTAAGGCAATACAATCAAGCCAAGGTTGAGGCCTTATACCAGTTTGTCTTCCTCGATGAAACTTGGATATTTCAAAATGGGACCATAGGTCGCTCTTGGCAAAATAGAAACCAAAAAAGCGTGAAAGCTATTAAAACAGATGGTAAAAGGTATGTACTTTTACACAATTTGCTCTATAAAATTTAAAACTAATATATTTTAGATACATTATATTACATGCTGGAAATGAAAATGGGTTTATTGA